AAAATGATAATATAAAACCTTGACAAAAATATATTTTTAAGTACTAATCAAAATGATGCGAAGGTCGCCCACATGTAGAAGCATGCAACATAGATGCCAGCTTTTTTTTAATAATATTTATATTTTTAAATGATTAAATAGATCTTAATTATAACAATATATATATATATATATATATATATAATAAAAAGGTAAAAATACCAAAATTATTATATGGGTAATTAAATAATTTTATTGTGTTAAAAAAAATAAAAAGACAAAAAAATCTCTCAATGCTAATTCAATTATTATTTTTTTGTTTTTAATGGTAATTAAGTTATTTTACTTTACTAAAAATATAATAAAACTAATTTATTCAAATATATTTAAAAATAATCAATGACTCACGATTAGAAAATTATTTTACTTTGATAGCAGGATGGTTGGCTTTTTTATTTTTAAGACAAAATAATTATTTTATTGTGTAATTAATAGTGGAAGGCTGGTGATGTTTTTTTTTTTTTAAAATTAATCATAATTTTACTATGGATGATTTGTGACTTACAGAATGATAAAAAAAAAAAAAAAACAGAGAAAAAACAAAGCGCTGATATTACCATCCCATGGCTTTTCTAAACATATATTTAACCAAAGACAGCCGTTTATAATAATAATAATAATAATCTCGTGAAACCTACTAACCTAGACCGAGGGAGGGAATCTAACAGGAGCGGACGAAGGACTCTGAGTAATTAATTACCAGATATAGATGATTTCCCGATTCAAGTAAGAACATACACTACAGGAGAAGCTTGAAATTGAAAGCAGCCATATCAACAAATAATTTCCTTGCCATTTATATTTCATACATTTATTTCTCCCACAAATCTATAGCCTTACCAACCACGTTAGAATTTTTAGAATTATTGTACTGTAGTTGCTTCCAAAGCTGCATACAAGCTCTCTGCTATCCATACAGTTACAGAGGCAACTCCAAGAAGATCTCAACTTTTCTGGTTTCTAAAAGAGACCCATTTGTTTTTGGCCAATTGGGTGCCCGTCTTTTGGTTTATCTTCTTGCAAGAACTGAATCTGGTTGGGTTTTTACGGTTTAGGTAAGCCAAATGTTTCTTTTGTACCCGTTTTCTTGGATCTTCTTTTAAATTCAGATTTGCGAAATTGTGTTTTCTTTTTATTGCTTTTTAATGGCCAGTCTTTGGTTTTTTGGATTCAGTTTATTGATTTCTGTTTAATTCTAAGATTTTTCAATTGTAATTACTTATCTTTTAATGGATTCTCCTGGTGCCAAACAAATTATTGTCGTTGCTCTTAAAAAGTTTGTTTTAAACTAACGTCTTTTGATCTGTTATTCATTGTATGCTTCTTGGTTTTCTTTCGTAGGCTTTAATTTTGTTACCGCAATTGTTTAATAGCCAGAAATCCCAGAAGATTTTGACTGGAATGGTAGCTCAAGTGTGCCTCTTAGATGAGGTGAATTGGCTTTTTTGATGGATGTAAAGGGATGCTGATTATCTCGGAAATGAGTCGATCACCTTCATTTTCTGTTAAACAGGAGCTTAGTTTAAAGACTGATCTGGAATCTCTGCAGCAATGGGCTGTTGCCTTCTGCATTATTAGATTTGATCTTGAACAAGGTCAGCTCATTGAAGAGTGTTATCCACCTGGTTTTCTCTCAAATGAAGAGGAACTTGATGTTGCTTTTAGTTCATTTCCAGATTCTGTTTCCCAGAACCAGAACCGTTCAAGCATTCATGACTGCATATTCTTTTTTCGCATCCGAAGGCGGAAGAACTCTGAACAAGGAAATGTGACTTCTTCTGAGATAGTAGGAATTGATGATGAAGAAGAATCTTCAAAGTCCATGAAAGGGAAGGTGATTAATAGAAGAAAAATTAGAAATGGTACCAAAGGTTTGAAATACTTGTATGGTTTTGTATTTAATAGGCAGCGGCATGATGAGAAGCTAAAGCGAGGTGGAGAACAAAAATCTGTCGTGATATTGTCTCATAATCCTTACTCTAGTCTGTTTAGGCCTTTGTTACAAATTTTGGGTCCTTTATATTTTGATGTAGGAACGAAAGCTCTTGAGCATATTGCTGCTTATGTTTCAATGTGGCCTACTCCTGTACCCGGTAAACAAATGGAGCTTCATATTGGGAATGCCATGCTTAAAGTTAGCCTGCCACCCGCTCATAGTCTGCCCTTTGAAATTGGGATTTTTGAAGAATCTGCTTCTGCCATGGCACCTTTTCTTCCATCCAATCAGTTAATTCCACAGGGTCTTTTTCACGATTCAGATATTTTTGGTACATTCCGGGGGATCTTATTGCAGCTCTGGTTGCTATGGGAGTTGTTGCTTATCGGTGAACCTATTCTTATCATAGGACATACACCTCCCCAGTGCTGTGAGGCAGTTGCAAGTCTAGTCAGTTTGGTTGCACCACTGCCATGTAGCGTTGATTTTAGGCCATATTTCACCATCCATGACCCTGACTTTAAGCATTTGAATTCACTTAAAGAAGGAGATGCATTCCCTCCAATGGTTTTGGGTGTGACGAATCTATTTTTCCTTAAAGCACTTCGTAATATTCCCCACATTGTTTCAGTTGGCAGCCCTGCTTCTAATTCAAACCGGGTTGCCTTTGCAAGTAGGTCTTCTGCTAGCAGAATTCCTGGAAGACCAGAAGGATTTGGTCTTCAGCAGCTTTCCTTGAAAAAGTTCTCTCCTTCAAGTTTGTTGAGTGCTGTTAAGTTGAGGAGAGATGGTCCCCTATGCCTCATGACAGAACACAAGGAAGCCGTTTGGAGTCCCTATGTAGCTTCAACTAAGCCTGACACTTCTATCTTGAATAGGCTCATTGATGCTGGCAAGTCACCGAGGGTTGAGGAGTCAATGTCAGTTGTTAACAATGAAATATTGCGCCGTCATTTCTTGGAGCTCACCACAAACTTCTTGGCTCCTTTTGGTCCATATTTTAGGGCGAGCACTCCTTCTGAAGGATCTCTTCCATTCATTGACCCTCCTCCTCTTCCTCCATTCGACGTTGAAGAATTTCTGGCAAACTTATCAGCAAGAGGTGTGGGGAAATTTTTGTCAAAGCGGATGAAATCTAATTGGCTGGATTTATACAAGTAATAATTGTTAGACTGCTATTAATATTGCATATGACTTCTTTTTTTCAGTTTGTTTGATTGCTTCTCAGTCCATTCAATTTTGGTCAAGTTCTCAATGCTTGTTGTTAAGATAAAGATGGTTTACATTGCTGTTCAGGAGGTTCCTGAAAGGGCCCAACTTCATGCCATGGTTTCGAAGGCGGCGCACTGTTGTTGAACAAGAACAACATAGGCTCTGGAGGCATGCAAGAATGAAAGCTGACATACAGCTTCTCATATCAAAAATGTCAGAATTGGAAATTGTTGATTCTTTCAATTCTATTGAAAGACATCTCCATAGAGAAATTCTGGTAATTGTTCTGTTTCTTCTAAAATCTTTATTTCCAAGGACTGTACTTCAAAAACCATTATGCCCTTAGCTTTTTTCAATCAGTTACAATTGTGTGATAATTGCTATGCCTGCAAACATCTAAGTGAAGGAGGTGTTTTTTGGATTTAGGCACAGGACACCTCCCCCTCCCCCAAGTACTTACAATAACTTTCAGGCACATGTTAAGGCAGCAGTGATCTATTTGTACAAGAGGTTAATGAACCGGCTTATGTATTTATTGTTTCTTAGTGAATTGATTTAAGCCTGAAAGTATATGCAGATCTATGCATTTTGTAGTTCGTGGTTTGTGAAAAATTCATTGTCAAAAAGTGGTCCATGCTAGTTTCTTAAATGTCCAAGTAGAGGTATATTGCAATTTCTTCTAGATGGTTGGTAGACTGTCTTGTTTTAGAGCCTCTATGAGATGAAAATACACTTTGCTCTTGAATCTGTTCTGAATATTATAACATGTAATGTGTTGTGTTGAATAGTGGTCAGATGGGTTGTTTTCACGTGTATATGCATGTATTTTTGGCTGCTTCTTGAACATTAAGTTTCTGCGTTTGTGTTCACCGTCATGTTATTAGCATCTGGAAGTAATTATCACTCTGAAAATATTGGAGGTTTGAAAACCAAATTTTCATTTTACTGTAGTTAAAATCGAGACTGTGATGCATGCCTAAATAGTGAGTGTTCTAGATTGGCTGAGAAAGAGGAAGTGTGTCATGGTTTGGAGACTGTAATGCAGTGTAATTAGTGCTGCTGGCATCAGAGGATTTGTTTTTCTGGCAAAACTTCTTGCCAGCAAATTTTGCACAACTTTGGTTCATTTTGTGCGGGTTCAGTAGCTGTGATAACAAGGCTAGAGGAAACAAACAACCAGACAAAGTACATGATGTGCAATGAAGTCAAGATGAATGCTGAGAACCGGCACTAAAAGTAGACCAAATTGCTTATTGTCCTTTAGTGTGGATATGAACTAAGCCACAAGTGTTTGTTACTTATTAAAGGACCTTATTCTTCGACACAATTCCCTCTTGTTCTTTTGGACCTCTTTGAGCAGGATTATCCCTTGAGTGGAATTCTATTTTTCAGAAGAGCAAATATTTGTTTGCAGTGCTGCTCCTTTTTTGAACTCTGGTCACATATTTATTAAGTTTATACACATTCCGATGATTGAATGGCAGATTGCAATATTTTCCATGTTTTTATCAATCAAAATAGAAGAAAAACATTGATATGTGTCCATGTGTAAGGTTATGGCTGAGAAATCATTTTGATTTTTCATAAATCAGATGGAGAAGTCAGGAAGGGCTGGTGTAGACTTTGCAGAAACTTGCCAGAAATTGAAGAAAGATCTGCAGGCAGTGTTCGATGTCCTTCCTAAAGACATGCAGCAGCTTTTGCTTATGAACCCTGAAAGAGCAGCTCTTTTACAAGTAAGCTGGGAGCCAACAAAACTTCCTGGCCACCCATCCTTACAAACTGGGGCTGTATCTTCCAGATCACCAAGATAAATGCAAACCATGGATTGGAACTTGGTGGCTCCTGTTATATGGAATCTTCTCACAATGCTGAAGGCTGGCATGGCATGTAACCATGTTGTAGTGTCCTTCAGTAACTGGATTAGGGTATTTCTCCCACTTGGGACGTGCTTCTTCTTCTTGGTGAGATCACTTCATCCTCTCGATATATCTGTCTTGTTACAGTCTTCCAATTTGCTTATAATTTCCCTTGTTTTGAATCTTGTTCCAGGTGCGAGAATCAAAGGCGGTCTTGCACTCTCCATTTTAGATCACTTCCTCTGCAATCCTACACATTTTATTTTTGTGACTTTTGGGGGAGATTGGTCTTTGAATATCCAAAAAACGATGAGCATTGATGTTTTTGTTCACCAACAGTCTGTTAGGCATCGGCTATCACCTTGGCCGTTTAACCTAGACCAGATTACCACTGTAGCTATCATCTTTCTAAAATTTGTGGCACAGCAGTTTTTACAAATTTTCTAAAATGTGTTCAAGATAACAAAGCCACCAAAAAAGTCTCTAGTTTCGAAAATTGAAATTGTGACAATTCTTTATCATAAGCAGAAGAGTGAACTGCATCCTCTCTCTTCTTTTTTTCCACGTCCTTTACTTACTGTAAATTGTAGCTACTGGAGGGTTTTCCTGCTTGATGCAAGCTTGTCTAGTGAGCGAAGTCTGTTATCAGACCTTTCTAGATTACGAGAAAATTCAGCTGGACAATAAAAAATTTGTGTTCCTTGAGCGTAGGTAGTTAAAGAGAGGTACTTTTAATCTTCAAAGTAATGAAGTAGTGCTATAAATTTTGATCTAAGTTGTGTTCTCAAGTTAATATGGCGACTTAGCAAGGATGCGACGAAAATACGAGCTCAAGTTAATATGGCGACTTAGCAAGGATGTGACGAAAATACGAGCCCTTTCCTTTCATTTTTTTTTTCCTGGTATAATCTTGGAATCTCGCATGCAGATCCCCCCATCTCTAAAAGTTCTCTTATGAGATCACACCTCTTTTCATAAGATTAGAGATGACAAATTGCCAAAACTGGCCCCAAGCTTCCTGGACGCATGGTTTAGCTCTTGCTGGAAGTTCTTCGGTTTTAGTTGAAGAAAGGGTTTTAGATAAGATTAGAGATGACAAATTAAAAATGAAGTATCTTTGCTTTCTTCTACAAATCCCCAACTCTATCTTTGTTTCTGTTTCCTTTCCTGTACAAATCTTCAACTTGATCTTTGGCTTCTCTCTCCCTTCCGACCCGTCCCTCATTATTCTAATTCCGGGTCTGCTTTTTTGGATGACAATGATGATTATCACAACAATAACACCGATCACGATGGCGGGTATTAATCTTATGTAGGTGAGGAGGTATTAGAAGACAGTGATGGAATGGAAATAAGAGAGTTGAGGGAGGAGGACCCGGAAAAATTACTTAAGGAGATTAAACTTTGAAGCAGAGGAGAGTGTCAGAATATGAAGGGTAGACCAGGCCTGCAGAAGGCAAACCATGTGAATGCAAAAGGAAAGCAAAGACCGAGTTCTTACATTGCATCTCTGGTCAATGCAGTTTCATCATCAAGAAGCATTTCAAGCTCATCCTTGTAAATACGCTCAGCTTCTTCTTCCATACTTTGTAAAGCCTTGTCAACCTAACAATATAGAGAAATGAAGTAATTGAACCATTCAACCAAAAAAGAGAGGATAATGTTCAGATTTATGCTTTGCACGCTCTGGTTAAAAACACTAATAGCAGGGGCAGACAAAAATTGACAGACGGAACAAACTAGTACCAAGCACATATTATGAAAGGCAAAAATTTCCACGAGAAAAATATGATTAGAATTCACCGAGCCAATTCTCTAAAATCAATTAAAATTTTATTTTCTTATAATTACAATATCAATTAAACATCCGATTTAAAATTATAACATTTAAAATTATGTTATTTTATCAAAAAAACATTTCTTCTACGTTAATTTATCATTTTTTTAATTTTATATGTTAATCGTCCAATTCATCCCTGAATAATTTAGAATAAAAAAATTTAAATTAACTAGTATTTTAATACAATTCTCACACGATAACTTCTAAACCTTATCACAAGGTCCTTCTCGATATTTGATTAACTTAAAATTTTAACATAGTATGAAACAAAGTATTTAGAATATTTTAGTAAAATTTCACCTTGATCCAATAGTTGGATAAAAAATTATGCTTGTTAGAGTAAAATTTTATAAAATAAACATTTAAATATCAAAATTAATTGCCACATTAAATAGATGGATCACACTCTTTTATATTGAAGATGAAGCCTTTTTGAAATTTATATTAACTCAAATACTCTAAATAAATCAATTTAATGAATCTTTAAACTTTTTTACTTTTGATTTTATAATTAGCTCATTTAAAATTTTTAATAAATTATTTGGTGTAATTTGGATTACATCATATCTACTAATACAGCTGCAGATGTTGTTCCTAAAATAATTATAGGTCTTGTTTTACCCCAAGATTGGGATGTAAACCTTCTACTAGTTGGTAATATGGATAAAGTTTAAGTCGGATTTTGCTTCATCTATTTGCAACTTAGAATATCTCAATCTGTCACTCGTCTCTTTCTCTATTATGGTTGGATTGGGGATTAGGAAGTAGGAGTTTCTCCACCTAGCTGGTATTTATTGAACACTTGACCGGACTAAGGTTTTTTTTTTTTTTTTTATGATTCATGGATATTGATATAATTTATTTTTAAGATTACGTATTTATGTTTTAAATGTATTCATCAAGTACTCGGCTATGATTTATTGGTATAGATGTAGTTTGTTTTTTGGGTTGAAATTTTAATTTTTCAAAATGAATTTAAAGAAAGTAAAAAGTGAACAAATTATATCTATATTCATAAATCATAAAACTATAAAATGAAGTCTAAACATTAAATCCATGTATAGGACAATAAGAATCCTCAATGAACTATAAGATAAAAATCTATTTACTATATTGAAAAATAAAATTATAAGTCCATATAGTAAAAATAAAAAAATAAAAACCAGGAGAAGATTGAGCCGAGTGAACTCTTTACTCATTTTGGCATTTAACCTTGGTTATATAAGATCAAATTTTACATGTTTCTAGTTAGAGAGATAAAAACTTAGTTTAATTAGATTGAATGACATTCTATATCCTCCTTCTACCTGTATATCAATATGGCCATGCTTATTTAAACTCTATTTCTTTATTTAAAAGTATTTTTTTAAATAGATTTCTTAAAAAATAGATTCCTAAAAAATAAATTATATTTCAATATTTGGTAGTATCATGAAAAATAAGTTGAAAAATATTTTTTAATGTCTGGTTATGTTATATAAAATGAGCTAGAAAATAAATTGTTATATTTTTTTCAAGTTTATTAAAATAATAAGGAACAAATCTTACAAATTAAAAAATTAAATGAAAATAAAATTGAAAAAAATCTAATTTTATAAATTATCTCAAATAAAATAAATAATAATCAAAATAATAGATATCAAATCTAATAGATAAAAAAAGTTGAGAGATGATGAAATTAAAAAAAAAAATATAATTTCATAAATTATTGCAAATAAAATAAATAACAATTAAAAGAATTAGGACCAAATCTGACAGATAAAAAATTGCAATTAAAAAATAATAATAAAAAAAGAAAATAAAAATTATAAAAATAAGAATCAAAGTTGATATAAAAATCAAATTAAATTAAATTTTAAGGGATAAAATTAAAAAAAAATATTCAAAATAAAATATATAACAATCAAAAGTTTGAAGATCAAATTTGATATAATTAGTAAAAGACATGATATTTTTAATTTTTTCATAATTTTTGAAAAGTGTTTTCTATCTAAAATAAAAACAAAATATTTTTCTAAAAACTAAGCTAAATTTTTTCTTTTACTAAAAAATATTTTATGTTGAACAATTTTTTTAATAACAAAAAAATATAAAAACATTTAAAAAATGATTTTTAAAAAATTTACAAAAACTTAATCTTCTAATTAAAAATCAAATCTGTATAATTGAAAAATGGATATTTTATATTTCTAAAAAAAAATCATAAAAAAACATTGTTTCCTTAATTTTATATTATAAAATAAGTCTAGTTCATCTAATATTTTTTTGCTCATTTATTCTATTATGTTAAATGGAAGCCAAACAAATCATTTTTTTTATTTTTAAAAACTTGTATTTAATAACATGTTTTAAAAAAAGTTCAAGACAAAATGTTTTTAGAGTATAGAAAAAATGAAAACAAAAAAATTACTTTTTAAAAGTAAACACGAGTTTGATAAGGGCTACAGAATGAAGTGCACAATATTGAAAGAGTTTTTACACAATAACTTGGAATAAATGCATTACAGTATAGTTATGATATATTAAGAACCAACATCTCAACAACGTTTTATGAATTAAATTAATAATATAACTTATGAATTTCTTTAAATCAATAGACCTTTAATTTTTATAGTTTATTCTTAATGCTAAAATTCATTACAATAACTAATTCAAATTTTATTTAAATTATATTTTATTTGAGTGAAGTTAGACTGTTTTATTTTTAATGATAATATTTTTTTCTTTATCAAGAAAAAACAGAGATTATAATTGTTATTACAACGATAGAACTAGTAACTTTAACAACAATAACAACAACAATAATAAAACTAAGTGAATTTGGTATTGTGGTAGTTTTTATAATTATAGTTTGAAAAAAATTATTTTATAAAAAACACTTTTGGTTAAGACTGGTTTGATATTTATATATGTTTGATTAAAACTGTGGTTCAAATTGATACTGAACAAAAAATAGTTTAATATATTTAGTTGAAAATGTTTTTCAAATTAAGGTTATAAAATAACTAAAAAAAGATATATGTTAATATTCATAATTTTTAATTTAAATATTATAGATGTAACCATAGTTATCAAACCCAGCCTAGGTGTTGACCCGGTGATTAGTACTTAAAAGTGCATTTTTATCAAGGTCATTATTTTGCACTTGAAGTATCAATAACTTCTTAACTAAAGCATGTTTTATAATAATATATCTAATAATATAAGATACCTTTAATTTGTGGTAAATGTTCATTTTAAATGCAGGCCTATCACATAAATGAAAGGATTGACTGATGACTTTAAGAACTTAAATTGCAAGGATAAAGAGATGGCCAAAATTAGAAAAGAGATGTCGGTAAAATCCAAACCGGAACACTGTTCGGTAATTGGGTCATATCTAGAGCTACAGATCTCAGATTTAGGTCCAATTTATATGGATGGAAAGGTAAGACATAGGCCTACAACTTTCATATGGAGCCCAAGATCTAAAAAGGCCATTATCAAGTCCAAATTGTAGCAACAACAAAGAAGCCCGAATCTGTCTTCCAGCCCGAGCACTGTTCGGTATTTTGGCCATATCTGGAGTTCTAGAAGTCCAAATGAGCTGAATGTTTTACACAAGAAAGCTGAGACAATTGCCTACAACTTTCATGTTTGCAACTGGCTCCAATTTTGACGTTATCAATGACGTTTTGGGCAGACAAGAGAAGATAAGGATTGTCACCAAGTCAAAAGTTGGTCACCCACTTATCAATTAGTCATCAAATCAATAGTTCCCATTTTTGGCCTATAAAAGGAGGCATTTGCCATGCATTTAGGCATCTTGGTGTCCAGATCAAGATCATGCTCTTCCTTTCTCTCTTTGTATTTTTTATGCTTTGTTTTCATTAATATTAAGTTTATGCCTTTCATTTCCTTTCCTTTACTTAGTTAACTTTTATGTTCTTATTTTG